CCTTGGGAGTTGTGAATCGATGATGGCCTCACTTTGTAAAAAAAGAAGCCAAGTTTCTCAAAACCAGTATTTGTATTTTTGTAGCATAAGAATGTCTGGTTTTTTTTTAATTTTGATACAGTATAGTGTGGTTTTTATTGGATGTACATGATGTGCAATAAAAATTGTAAGAACCTTCAGCTGTAAACTTTGTTAACAGGTAGCATCAAGTAGGCAATTTATTGTTTAAAATCTTGGGCCCAGCCTTGGAGTTGCAGGGGCATCCCAGCAACTAGTGTGCCTCTCATGCTGGCTAAAGACCCTGACAAGGAGTTGGAGGAAGAGGGAGGAGTCAGGTTACTGTGGGGAGCAGGAGGCTGGAGAGAGCTGCTGCAGCAGCAAATGGAAGTCTGGCCGTGATGGATTAGACCACTGATGAATGCTAGCTCTGTTATATGGAGAGGACTGAGGAAGGCAAGCAAATCCATGTGATACGGGGAACCAAGGGCAGGGCTGGGGAAGGAGTCCCCATCTGGGAGTGGGTTGGTGTAGGTGGAACTGGAGGAGGGGAGGCCGGAGGTGGAGAGCCCAGCTGCTGGACGCTCATGAATCCCATGTGTTTCTGTGAGTCACGGTGGCTGTGCACCATGTTGGCTGCTGCAGCCAGTTTGATGCTTTGGAGCTGCTACTACACCTCCATCTCCTTTGCCCTTCCTTCTCCTCAGTCATCCCACCTCTCCTTCCCCACTCTCATGTATCATCTCTCCTCCTTCACCCTGTCAAAGCCCTGCACAGTGTGAGATGGGAAGGGAGGTGAAGAGGACACGTACAGCTGCGGTGTGACTTAGAAATTAGCCATTCCGATGTGCACATCATTGACCTACCCCTGACATCAGCTGATTTATTACCCTTCCTTTGTTTTGGTCAGCTACTGGGACGGGCTGAGACTCTATTTCTTCATGTAAGGCTCACAGGGCCTCCTTCCCCACATGCCTGCTAACTGCTCAGCTCCATGCCAACAGGAAGGGAAAGGCAGCTTCATCCTATAGGATTTGTGGGGAAGGGTGGATGCACGTTAGGCCGCCATCCGTGCTAACAGGGGGTGTCAGACCAGTGTAACGACTCAGTAAAGCAAAACAGTCTCTGTAAATGTTCCTGGAATAAACAACTACAAGAATTGTCCCTCAAATAGTCACATTAGTATAGCAACTTTGAAGACTGTTCTAGTAACCTCCCTCTGTAAACCACCTCGACATGGCCCACTCTGTGCATAGGGACTTGCTTGCACAGAAATGCTCACCTGCACGCTATACGATGAACGCGAAGTATTTGCAGTCTTCCCACAGTTCTCAGCACTAGCTAATAACCATAGACGTAGTTTGACTTCTATATTATGGAGGGTGTCTCCAGTCAGGCCAATGGGGCCGCGTGTGGCTGGGGGCGACAACAAATTCCGTGCCTGCAGGGGCGCCATTTGAGATGGGGAGGGGGCACAGCTTTAACACTGATTCCAGGGGCTACTTAGGCAACTGAAAACTCTAGTGTTTTTGCAGATAATAACTTAGAAATATCTGGCAGGCGCATTGTATCTAATTTCTAGATTAAGAAAGAAAAAAATAAATATTAGACCCTCTCAGCTCTAATACTATCATGTTCTGACATCTTGTGGCAAGTCACTTAAGGGCCACTGTAGGTTTTAAATTGCATAGTCTTACACAGATACTTTTACTAAAATCAGACGGGACCATCATGATCATCTTGTCTGACCTCCTGGACATTGCAGGCTATAGAATCTCACCCACTCACTCCTGTAATAGACCCCTAACCTCGGTAAGTTACTGAAGGCCTCAAATCATGATTTAAAGACTTCAAGTTACAGAGAATTCACCATTTACACTAGTTTAAACCTGCAAATGACCCGTGACCCATGTTGCAGAAGGCGGTAAAAAAACCCCACGGTCTCTGCCAATCTGACTGGGGGAAATTCCTTCCCAACTCCTAATATGGCGATCAGTTAGACCCTGAGCATATGGGCAAGACCCACCAGGCAGATACCTGTGAAAGAATTATCTGTAGTAACTCAGAGCCCTCCTCATCTAGTGTCCCATCTCCAGCCGTTGGAGATTTTTGCTACAGGCAGTTGCCGATGGGCCACATGCCATTATAGGCAGTCCTGTCATACCATCCCCTCCATAAACTTATCAAGCTCAGTCTTGAAGCCATTTAGGGTTTTTTGCCTGCATTGCTCCAAACTTCACTCCTCTGATGGTTAGAAACCTTCACCTAATTTCAAGCCTAAACTTGATGGCCAATTTATATGTATTTGTTCTGGGGTCCACGTTGATGGTTAATTTAAATAACTCCTCTCCCTCCCTAGTATTTAGCCCTCTGGTGTATTCATACAGAGTAATCATATCTCCCCTCAGCCTTCTATTGGTTAGACAAAACAAGCAAAGTTGTTTGAGTATCTTCCAATAAGATAGGTTTTCCTTTCCTCAGATCATCTTAGTAGCCCTTCCCTGCATCTGTTCCAGTTTGAATTCATCTTCCTTAAACATGGGAGACCAGAATTGCACACAATACTCCAGATGAGGTCTCACTAGTGCCTTGTATAATGGTACTAATACTTCACTGTCTCTACTGGAAATACCTTGTCTGATGTATCATAGGACTGCATTAGCCTTTTTCACCACCACATCACATTGATGGCTCATAGTCATCCTGTGATCAACCAATACACCCAGCTCTTTCTCCTCCTCTGTCACTGCCAACTGATAAGTCTCCAGCTTATAGCAAAAATTCTTGTTGTTAGTCCCTAAATGCATGACCCTGCACTTCGCATTATTAAATATCCCATTTCTATTACTCCAGTTTAAAAGGTCATTCAGATCTTCTTGTATGATATTCCGGTCCTTCTCAGTATTGGCAATATCCTCCAAGTTTGTGTCATCTGCAAATTTTATTAGCACACTCCCACTTTTTGTGCCACGGTCAGTAATAAAAATGTTAAATAAGGTTGGTCCCAAGACTGATCCCTGAGGAACTCCACTAGTAACTTTCCTCTAGCCTGAGAGTTCACCTTTCAGTATGATCTCTTGTAGTCTCCTCTTTAACCAGTTCCTTATACACCTTTCAGGTCTCATATTAATCCCCATCTTCTCCAATTTAACAATGTCTCATGTGGAACTGTATCAAATGCCTTACTGACATCCAGGTAGATTAGATCTACTGCATTTCCTTTGGCTAAAAAAATCAGTTATCTTCTCAAAGAAAGGTATTAGTAACTTTGTTACCACCTCTTGAATATAACAGTTGAAACAATTGTAGAAAAATCTGCAATTGCTTTCTATCATTTAGATTATGTCTACACTGTTGCTATAGCCGTGCAGCTAAAAGGTGTGCAGTGTAACCACTCTTTGTCTGCAGGCGAGAGCTCGCCCACTGACAAAATAAATCCATCCCCAACGAGCAGCAGTAGCTTCTCCCACCGACAAAGTGCTGTCCACACTGGTGCTTTTCATGGGTAAAACTTTTGTTGTTTGGGGGTGGGAGGTGAGTTTTTCACACCCAAGAACGACAAAAGTTTTACCAGCAAAAGTGCAGTGAGCCAAGCCTTAGGCTACTTACTTTTTGCAGTTCACCAAGCTTGGAACAGATCTTTAACTTTAGGAAAAATCCTAATAGCCCTTTCTTATCTTAATCACTCTGTTTATAAACACAATTCTGACTCCCTGCCTCAGGAGCACAAGCTGGGAGCAGCACGTCGCCTTTCTTCTCTGCAGAACTCGTTACATTGCAGTTTGGGGGGACAATGCCTCCCATGCTCCCCCTCCCCCAAAATTCTGCCTATACTAATAACTTGGCGGTGAGGTCTGAAGATTGCTAAAATGTTATTAGGGGTGGAGGGATAGCTCAGTGGTTTGAGCATTGGCCTGCTAAACCCAGGGTTGTGAGTTCAATCCTTGAGGGGGCCACTTGGGGATCTGGGGCAAAATCAGTACTTGGTCCTGCTAGTGAAGGCAGGGGGCTGGACTCAATGACCTTTCAAGGTCCCTTCCAGTTCTAGGAGATGGGATATCTCCATTAATTTATTTATTTATTTATTTATTATTTTTAGAAAAGCTGCATCTGTAAATTAAATTGTCAAAACACTGACAATCTTTTTTTATTATGCAGCTTCATAAGCAGCTTCATAAGCTGCACTGATTTGCAATGAGCCTTCCCGTTCTGAGTGAGAATTAGTGAGGCTCTGATGCAATAAAATTCAAGATGAACCCAGAGAATTATTTACAGATGACAGTCATATGCACAGGTGAGAATTAACCCCGATACCTATTTGTAACATTTCATCATTATACAGCTAACACAGTTTGAAAGATAGATCATCTATATCTATAATCTTGTCATCTAAAAGTCCTTGGTCCATACCAGTGTTCCTCTTGTTCTAATGCTGTGGCAGCATGGCACAACTTTTTCACTAGAGAACAACTTTCAGTGGGAACCAAAATACCATTATCTACCCAAGAGACTCAGCAATGTGTCCTTTCTGTTCCTGGTTTACACATACAGGTGTGTAGCATTCTGATTTCCCCAGCTGATAAGCAGTCTTGGCAGAATTTGGGGGTTTTTTTAAATAATTTTTACTGAAGTTGTTTATTTTTAAGCATATTTCTATTTTTATCAATTTAAATTTTCGCAGTTGTGCAAAATTATGTTAAGCATTTTAAAAACTTTTATCTATTTAAATATTCCCAGTTGTGGGAAATTATGGGGGAGGGTCAGACAAGAGTGGGGGTCTGACATTATTTAATGACAGTAAATGTTGAGATTCAAAGAGTTAAAGCTTTATAACCATTAAAACACAAAATGATCAACAGCATATGCAAAATATATACAGTACCGATCCTTAACTCAAACTCTAAGTTCTCAAGCAGCATTTTTCTTATTTTGCCGATCTGTAAATTTTGTTTATCAATGGAAATATTTTTGGTGGATTTGTGTGTGTACAATGAAATTGACATTTACCAACAAAAATCTAATCCATCCTAGCCTACTCATAGGTTATGTATAGAAGGGCTTTTCTGTTGCACGATCTTGAGTGGTTCTCTAAACTTAGAGTGTCCTTGTTATACAAATCAGGGCTTGGGAAGGCTGAGAAGAGCCACACTGATGTTTGGTGTGCTTAGCATCTGTGTACTGTTCCCTTTCATCTGCTTTTGGATTAGCTGTGTCTTGTACATTGTATTATGCTGCATTGTGCTGTGACCTGGGCTGCTGTTATCCTCAAAACCAGCAGCAAACCAGTTTCCCTTGCTTGGGTATCACATGCCTTTTGGGTTTTCCATCCTGAACAAATACAGTTGCATGGCCCAGTGTGTTGGCCCCATTGCAGATGTGACAGTAGAGACAGGTTAAATAATTAAGCAGCTGTGAGGATATGTTTGCTGTGGCTTTAAATCTGTAACAGGAAGCTAGGCAAGGGAGCGGGGCTGGGTAAGATACTAGGTAGAAGTTCAGCAGCAAAGCAGAGAGAGAGAGAGAATGGCTTTAGGGATAATACCGTTTTCCTCGCTCTAATAAAGTTCCTCGTTCAGCGGTGGGAGAAAGCAACTCTATCTCTGATTGGTTACCACTGTCACATGCCAGTTCCTTGTTCAGTGTTAGAAGAAAGGACTCTCTCTCTCTCTTTTCTTTACCACTGTCACGTGATGAGGGCTGCTGCTGCAGCTGCCTGTTTTCTGCCCAGGAGTCCAGACTGAGGAGCTGCTGCTTCCCTCCTCTCTTCTCTACAGTATTTGCCTTATTTAAAGACCCTTCTGTTACTAGCCAAGCTGGGGACTGTCTCGGACCGTAACTAGCCTCTTAGGGGAAGCCCCGGACTCTGCGGACACTAACTCCTGAGCCGGAGACTCCAGGTAATTGAGAGAACTTGGGGAAAGTGATTCTGTAAAAACGCCCCACCTCCCCCATCTCTGCTCCAAGTGTGTCTGTGAGTCCCAGATCTGCTGGCTTTATTGACACACACAAGCTCTTAGCTGATCCAGATATTGGAGCGAGCATGCACGCAGAAATGGAACAAAACCCTCCCAGCCAGAGGGGGAGGAGGGAGAAAGGAAGGAGACGGAAGGGGATAGGAAAAATTAAAAAAGAGGTGACGAGCTCCAAGAATAGTGCTGCCCAGACCTGTTACTGCATCATCACTGGCAGGTTTAGTTTAACAGGAGCGGGACTAAAAGGCAGTGCCCTGTCTCTGCCTAATAACGATGCTGCTTCGGGGACACTCCCCACAATGTAGCTGTTTGTTCTTCTCTTTGACAGTGTTTTGTTCCGGCTCTGTTAAAGGAACATGACACACATGTCTGTGTGTTTAGTGTTGGTGCAAGGTGCTGGGTCTGCACCATAAGGCACCAAGCGATTCCTGCGGCTGAGTGTAGATTTTTGTACCCAAGCTGGTAAAGCAGAACTCAGAAGTTTGTCTGCCACTGCCTTAAAGTTAATGGACCTGTTCCATGAACTCTAGCAGTAGAGGCTCATGACCTTAGCTTGAGAGGTCCTGGGCTTGATCTCCCAGCTGTGGGGTGTTACTAGCATCAGCCTCATAAATCCTGTAGAGGGGGACGAAGACCTACATGGGGTTACCATGGGTCACACATGGATGTACAGGGGACGCAGGCTGGAACTATGAAGTGTGTTTTCTGTAGCTGCTGCATCATTATTGACAGGGAGAGAGCAGCAGTCTGAGTGAGGAGAGGGAAGTGGGTCTGGAGTGTGGGCACCCTGGGTACAAAGGCCCAGCTGGGAGTGATGAGTCTAAGCCAGGGTTCATGGGAGCTATTATTGTTTCAGGGTGCATAAGGTAAGGGAATTTAGGCCAAACCTTGGGGCCCCTTCCCTGGCCAGTGGGGTTGAAGCAGGCAGGGAGCTGGGGATACTCATTGTTCCAGCTACCAGCCTTTGAGGAAGTGGTCATGTCTTTCTCCGAGGCAGAAAGGGGCCCTGAGGGTGAAACGCAGAGAGCCCTCTGCAAGGACACTGCGGGAGAGTGACTGGTTTCCTCATGAGTGTTACGAGCTTTGTGGTCTCTGAAGCTCCCTGAGTTGCTTTTCTGGCCCTTGGCCCTGGCTGGTGGAAACATCCTGTGCATTATCCCTTTAGCAACCCATAAATGTTCCAGTAGTTTCTGGGCTGGGAGGGGTGTCAGCCCCCCCGTGGGGGGTGGGGGCAGTTGGGCTCAGAGGAATTCCCACTTCTGCCCCATTCTAGGCAGATATTCTTCACATTCTTGCTGTGTTCACCAGAGAACTCCCTTTCGCTCCTTAGTGCTCTCCTTCCATCCTTCCCTTTTCCTTTATTTTGCTCTTTTCCCTCTCTCATGCTTCTGTCTCTCTCCCTCTCCCTTTCCTTCTCTTTCCATCCTCCCTTCCTTCCCTGAGCCAGGCTCTCTCCCCCTCCATTCTTTACAATCACTCTCGGCCCTGGCCAAGAGTTTCTCCATCTCCTTCCCCAGCCCAGTCTCTCACTCAGCCCCCCCCAAAATCACCACTCTCCACTCACAACCCCCCACGTCGGTCACCCCCTGCAACTCATATACCAGGCACTCTGTCACTATAGATCAAGCCACTCACAGACTGGTCATCACCGCACTCTGCCCCACGTCTTCCACACAATAATCACCTCCCCATTCACATCCCCCAGTCACACTCAGGAGCGGCGCCAGGGTTTTTGGCGCCCTAGGTGGGGGTCCTTCCGCGCTCCCAGTTGTCAGCAGCAATTCTGCGGTGGAGGGGTCCTTCTGTACTCCCGGTCTTCGGGGCACTTCAGCGGCGGGTCCCGGAGCGAGTGAAGGACCCGCCGCAGAATTGCTGCTGAAGACCTGGAGTGTGGAAGGACCCCCGCCGCCGAATTGCCTCCAAGGGTGGCAAAATGCTGCCCCCCCAAATCCTGGCATCCTAGGCGACCACCTAGGTCGCCTAAATGGAAGCACCAGCCCTGGTCACACTCCAGCCCAATTCCCTTCCTGGCCAGCAGCAGCTTCCACTGAGGTTGTTCCCAGCTCTCCCCACCACATGGAAGAACTGGAGTAGCAGAGATAGTCTTCCCTGACCCCCATGTGGGGAGCAGGAGCTGGCCTCTCTCCCTCACCATGTTGAAGGGGAACTCTGAATCCCAGATCATTGTCTTTCTCCTTGTTGTGGGGTAAGGGTGGAGGCAGTCCTGCTGGACAGATAAGTGGAGCAGGCAGTGCTAGCAGAGAGCAATCACTGCTCCTGCTCTGCTGCAGCCCCAGCCAAGAGGCCACCTGTTGGGGCGCATTCCAACCATGCTTTCAGCCTTGATGGCCCCAACACCTTTGTCACCTCCCATACCTTCCCTTTAGGAAGGAGGTTGAGAGACATTGCACTGCTGCTGATCTCCCTCTGCCCAGGGCTTCCAAGAGGGACAGAACTGTGACATTGTCCTGTCTGGAGTCCCCCTCCACCTGGTTAGAAATGTGAAAGTGGCTTGTTTTTGCTTTTTGTCAAGTCCCTCAGTGTGTGGAGATCCCTGAATTTCGTATGCCGCACAACACACTTCCTAGGAGGTATTTCCTTTCTGTGCAGGTGAAATGTCCCCTCAGCAAAGAGAGGGACTGGGTTTTAAACCTTAGAGAGATCTGCTTAGCAAATCCTTGGTGAAGATGTGACAACCCCGGTCTTGCCCATTTCTCCTCCCCTGAGCAGGATTTCCCATTCCCAAATAAGACATGATCTCCATCCGGGAACAAGAGGAAGAGCCATGGATCCCTAATCTCCAGAGCTGCGATGAAAAGGAGATGCTGAGTGGCACCTGCGCAGGTGAGGAATAAACTAAACCATTTGGGAACTGTCAGTGAATGAGGTGAAAATCTGGATTTGCCAAAGTGCTGCCGTGAGCTCCTGCCATCCCATAGATTTATATGGAGGCAATATGATATTCTCGATCTTATTATCTATCCCTTTCTTAATGATCCCCAACATTCTGTTCACTTTTTTGACTGCTGTTGTACCTTGAGTGAATGTTTTCAGAGAACTATCCACAATGACTCCAAGTTCTTTCTTGAGTGGTAACAGCTAATTTAGACCCCATCATTGTATATTAACAGTTCTAACATCAACACAAACATCAACGCTGTTGTCTGATTTGGGAACTAGAACAATTGGGCTTCACCATTCACTTTGCAACTCCTTGACTACCCCTCATTCTAACCTACTTTCTAGCTCCCTCTTGAAAATCTCCCATGTTCATTCAGGGATTTGGAAGCTTCCCTTCTGTGCACTGACTCCTGGGATAATTTGTATGTGGTGTAGGAGGTGAGTCTTCCCAGGCCTGGTGGTGAAGACATCACTAAAGCTCTGGACTAGCTTTCGGGCTCACTCTCTCTGCTAGCTGCAAGTTAGTCTCCCAGAGTTACAGTGGGGCAGACCCCTGCCTCTGGTACCTGAGGGCCTAAGTCTAATTCTTGTTGAACAGCATGGATAAACATGGCCTCTCAGTTCTTACAGGGCTTTAGTACATTCACACAGTAGATCTACTAACCAAATCTCAAAAGTTACCTCCTTTGCTCAGCACACTGTCTTACAGGGCTTCTGCCCTTTAGCTAGTAGTTTGCTCTCAGAGCTAGGTAGTAATAATGTCATCTCAGCTGATACACCATCAGCGCCACATTTCTATTATAATATAGCGCCTGTGAGTATTGCAAAGCCTGAAAAGTCTGCCGGACAAAGGTGCCCCTATCAAGTCCATCCATTCCTGCAGATTTGGGACATATTGCACGATGTTCTCAGCTTTGGTCCCACCAAGCTTCCTGCACAAGGTCCAGAATTCCACAGAGCTGCCTTCCATGCACCAACTTAAAAGGAGACGACCCCATGGAAGACCGCGGCACCTCCCTGATGGCAAACGGTAGATACAGCGAGAGTTTGTTCTAGTTATGGGATTTGGCTCTGATGAACTTGAGCAGTATTTCTTGGAGGGTCCGATTAAAATATTCCACCAACCCATTTGTCTGGAGGTGGTAGGCCGATGTTTTTATGGACTTTATGTCAAGGAGAGAGCAAACTTCTTATGCTAACCTTGACATGAAGGGGCTGCCCTGATTGGTCAGTATCACCCTGGGAATACCTACCCAAGAGAACGTTTTTAGCAACTCATTGGTGACTAATTAGGCTGACATTGATTGCGAAAGAATGGGTTTGGGATGGTGTAATCTACAATGGGTAAAATATAGCAGCACCCACTAACCCTCAGTTCAGGGGGGTCCAGCTAAATCTACCCCAATGTGCTCAAATGGAGCATCTACCAAAGGGAGGGGAACCAAGGGGTCCTTTGGGTAGATTTGGCACTCATTAGCTGGCATTTGGAACAGGAGTTGCAATAGTTCTTGAGCTTTTGGTATTCCCCAGGCCAGAAGAAATAAGAAATAAGCCCATATCCATTCCTGGGTTTTTTTTCCAATCCCCTAAGTGGCCAGACCATGGTATTTCATGGGCCAGCCTGAGGACTTTGTTCCTAAAGGACCTGGAGACCAAACATATCCCCATTTGGGGCTCTTTGGGCACCTGAACCAGGAAATATCCCTCTATCTCAAAGTGAGACTATTGTGTATCCTGTACCGCATCCACTGGGGCTCTGTTCCCCTTGGCTAATGGCCCGTACAGCTGGTTAACACCCCATGATTTTTCTGCTCTTACACAAAGTCACTGGAACAGGCAAGAGACTGATCGTCCAGCAGTGGGGGATTCTGGAAGAAGCAACACTTGTGTGCACTCCTTAGGGGTGTTCAAACTGCACTGGGTGATCTTGCCCTTGCACACTTATTTCACTGGATCTGGCCTGGGGGGCTGTAGGGCCCCTAGGACCTTGGATTGCTGCAGTCGGTGGTGCCAGGGAATTTGACCCTGCAGAGGTATTTCGGGTGTGTGTGTGTGTCATAGAATCATAGAAGATTAGGGTTGGAAGAGACCTCAGGAGGTCATCTAGTCCAACCCCCTTCTCAAAGCAGGACCAACACCAACTAAATCATCCCAGCCAGGACTTTGTCAAGTCGGGCCTTAAAAATCTCTAAGGAAGGAGATTCCACCACCTCCCTAGGTAACCCATTTCAGTGCTTCACCACCCTCCTAGTGAAATAGTGTTTCCTAATATCCAACCTAGACCTCCCCCACTGCAACTTGAGACCATTGCTTCTTGTTCCATCATCTGCCACCACTGAGAACAACCTAGCTCCATCCTCTTTGGAACCCCCTTTCAGGTAGTTGAAGGCTGCTATCAAATCCCCCCTCACTCTTCTTTTCTGCAGACTAAATAACCCCAGTTCCCTCAGCCTCTCCTCATAAGTCATGTTCCCCAGCCCTGTAATAATTTTCGTTGTCCTCTGCTGGACTCTCTCCAATTTGTCCACATTCCTTCTGTAGTGCGGGGAACAAAACTGGATGCAATACTCCACTGTGGCCTCACCAATGCCGAATAGAGGGGAATAATCACTTCCCTTGATCTGCTGGCAAAGTTCCTACTGATACAGCCCAATATGCCGTTGGCCTTCTTGGCAACAAGGGCACACTGCTGACTCAGATCCAGTTTCTCATCCACTTTAATCCCCAGGTCCTTTTCTGCAGAACTGCTGATTAGCCAGTCAGTCCCCAGCCTGTAGCAGTGCATGGGATTCTTCCATCCTAAGTGCAGGATTCTTCACTTGTCCTTGTTGAAACTCATCAGATTTCTTTTGGCCCAATCCTCCAATTTGTCTAGGTCACTCTGGACCCTATCCCTGCCCTCCAGGTTATCTACCTCTCCCCCCAGCTTAGTGTCATAGAATCATAGAATATCAGGGTTGGAAGAGACCTCAGGAGGTCATCTAGTCCAGCACCCTGCTCAAACCAGAACCAATCCCCAACTAAATCATCCCAGCCACGGCTTTGTCAAGCCTGACCTTAAAAACCTCTAAGGAAGGAGATTCCACCACCTCCCTAGGTAACCCATACCAGTGCTTCACCATCCTCCTAGTGAAAAAGTTTTTCCTAATATCCAACCTAAACCTCCCGCACTGCAACTTAAGACCATTACTCCTTGTTCTGTCATCTGGTACCACTGAGAACAGTTTAGATCCATCCTCTTTGGAACCCCGGTTCAGGTAGTTGAAAGCAGCTATCAAATCCCCCTTCATTCTTCTCCTCTACAGACTAAACAATCCCAGTTCCCTTAGCCTCTCCTCATAAGTCATGTGCTCCAGCCCCCTAATTATTTTTGTTGCCCTCCACTGGACTCTTTCCAATTTTTCCACATCCTTCCTGTAGGGTGGGGCCCAAAATTGGACACAGTACTCCAGATGAGGCCTCACCAATGATGAATAGAGGGGAATGATCACGTCCCTCGATCTGCTCGCAATGCTCCTCCTTATACAGGCCAAAATGCCGTTAGCCTTCTTGGCAACAAGGGCATACTGTTGACTCATATCCAGCTTCTCGTCCACCGTAACCCCTAGGTCCTTTTTTGCAGAACTGCTGCCTAGCCATTCGGTCCCTAGTCTGTAGCAGTGCATGGGATTCTTCTGTCCTAAGTGCAGGACTCTGCACTTGTCCTTGTTGAACCTCATCAGATTTCTTTTGGCCCCATCCTCTAGTTTGTCTTGGTCCCTCTGTATCCTATCCCTACCCTCCAGCGCATCTACTACTCCTCCCAGTTTAGTGTCATCTGCAAACTTGCTGAGGGTGCAGTCCTCGCCATCCTCCAGATCATTAATGAAGATATTGAACAAAACTGGCCCCAGGACCAAATCTTGGGGCACTCCTTGATACCGGCTGCCAACTAGACATGGAGCCATTGATCACTGCCCGTTGAGTCCGACGATCTAGCCAGCTTTCTATCCACCTTATAGTCCATTCATCCAGCCCATACTTCTTTAACTTGCCAGCAAGAATACTGTGGGAGACCGTGTCAAAAGCTTTGCTAAAGTCAAGTAATAACACATCCACTGCTTTCCCCTCATCCACAAAGCCAGTTATCTCATCATAGAAGGCAATTAGGTTAGTCAGGCATGACTTGCCCTTGGTGAATCCATGCTGACTGTTCCTGATCACTTTCCTTTCCTCTAAGTGCATCAGAATTGATTCCTTGAAGACCTGCTCCAAGATTTTTCCAGGGACTGAGGTGAGGTGAGGCTGACTGGCCTGTAGTTCCCCGAATCTTCCTTCTTCCCTTTTTTAAAGATGGGCACTACATTCGCCTTTTTCCAGTCATCCGGGACCTCCCCGGATCGCCATGAGTTTTCAAAGATAATGGCCAATGGCTCTGCAATCACATCTGCTAACTCCTTTAGCACCCTTGGATGCAGCGCATCCAGCCCCATGGACTTGTGCTCGTCCAGCTTTTCTAAATAGTCCTGAACCACTTCTTTCTCCACAGAGGGCTGGTCACCTTGTCCCCATACTGTGCTGCCCAGTGCAGTAGTCTGGGAGCTGACCTTGTTCATGAAGACAGAGGCAAAAAAAGCATTGAGTACATTAGCTTTTTCCACATCCTCTGTCACTCGGTTGCCTCCCTCATTCAGTAAGGGGCCCACATTTTCCTTGACTTCCTTCTTATTGCTAACGTACCTGAAGAAACCCTTCTTATCGCTCTTAACATCTCTTTCTAGCTGCAACTCCAAGTGTGATTTGGCCTTCCTGATTTCACTCCTGCATGCCTGAGCAATATTTTTACACTCCTCCCTGGTCATTTGTCCAATCTTCCACTTCTTGTAAGCTTCTTTTTTGTGTTTAAGATCAGCAAGGATTTCACTGTTAAGCCAAGCTGGTCGCCTGCCATATTTACTATTCTT